GCATTTTAGAAATTTTCTTTGGTGTGGGCTTTTCTTCTTCGTAAGACAAGAAAATGTTTGAGGTATTCTGCACCTTTGATCTTAAACGATTGTAGTATAGGATTACAGCAGTGGCAATTACTTAGCTGCAAATATTGGATTCTGGGGTTAGGAAATTACTTGGTCATATAACTAAACAGCATATTTTATTTTAACTATGTTGATTAGATCTACTTCACTCAGTAGCTATGAACTTGAAGGCTACCAACATGTACGCATTTCTATAAACTTGAAGGCTACCAACATGTACGCATTTCTGTAAACTTGAAGGCTACCTACATGTACGCATTTCTATAAACTTGAAGGCTACCAACATGTACGCATTCCTGTAAACTTGAAGGCTACCAACATGTACGCATTTCTGTAAACTTGAAGGCTACCTACATGCACGCATTTCTGTAAACTTGAAGGCTACCAACATGTACGCATTTCTATAAACTTGAAGGCTACCAACATGTACGCATTTCTGTAAACTTGAAGGCTACCAACATGTACGCATTTCTATAAACTTGAAGGCTACCAACATGTACGCATTTCTGTAAACTTGAAGGCTACCAACATGTACGCATTTCTGTAAACTTGAAGGCTACCAACATGCACGCATTTCTATAAACTTGAAGGCTACCAACATGTACGCATTTCTATAAACTTGAAGGCTACCAACATGTACGCATTTCTATAAACTTGAAGGCTACCAACATGCACGCATTTCTATAAACTTGAAGGCTACCAACATGTACGCATTTCTATAAACTTGAAGGCTACCAACATGCACGCATTTCTATAAACATGAAGGCTACCAACATGCACGCATTTCTATAAACATGAAGGCTACCAACATGCACGCATTTCTATAAACTTGAAGGCTACCAACATGCACGCATTTCTATAAACTTGAAGGCTACCAACATGCACGCATTTCTATAAACTTGAAGGCTACCAACATGCACGCATTTCTATAAACATGAAGGCTACCAACATGCACGCATTTCTATAAACTTGAAGGCTACCAACATGCACGCATTTCTATAAACTTGAAGGCTACCAACATGTACGCATTTCTATAAACATGAAGGCTACCAACATGCACGCATTTCTATAAACTTACCAACATGCACGCATTTCTATAAACATGAAGGCTACCAACATGCACGCATTTCTATAAACTTGAAGGCTACCAACATGCACGCATTTCTATAAACTTGCTACCAACATGCACGCATTTCTATAAACTAAACACTACCAACATGCACGCATTTCTATAAACATGAAGGCTACCAACATGCACGCATTTCTATAAACATGAAGGCTACCAACAACGCATTTCTATAAACATGAAGGCTACCAACATGCACGCATTTCTATAAACTTGAAGGCTACCAACATGCACGCATTTCTATAAACTTGAAGGCTACCAACAACGCATTTCTAGGCTACCAACATGCACGCATTTCTATAAACATGAAGGCTACCAACATGCACGCATTTCTATAAACTTGAAGGCTACCAACACACGCATTTCTATAAACATGAAGGCTACCAACATGTACGCATTTCTATAAACTTGAAGGCTACCAACATGCACGCATTTCTATAAACATGAAGGCTACCAACATGCACGCATTTCTATAAACTTGAAGGCTACCAACATGCACGCATTTCTATAAACTTGAAGGCTACCAACATGCACGCATTTCTATAAACATGAAGGCTACCAACATGCACGCATTTCTATAAACATGAAGGCTACCAACATGCACGCATTTCTATAAACTTGAAGGCTACCAACATGCACGCATTTCTATAAACTTGAAGGCTACCAACATGCACGCATTTCTATAAACTTGAAGGCTACCAACATGCACGCATTTCTATAAACTTATAAACAAGGCTACCAACATGTACGCATTTCTATAAACTTGAAGGCTACCAACATGTACGCATTTCTATAAACTTGAAGGCTACCAACATGCACGCATTTCTATAAACTTGAAGGCTACCAACATGCACGCTTTCTATAAACTTGAAGGCTACCAACATGTACGCATTTCTATAAACTTGAAGGCTACCAATATGTACGCATTTTAAACTTGAAGGCTACCAACATGCACGCATTTCTATAAACTTGAAGGCTACCAACATGTACGCATTTCTATAAACTTGAAGGCTACCAACATGTACGCAACTTGAAGGCTACCAACATGTAAGCATTTCTATAAACATGAACGCTACCAACATGCACGCATTTCTATAAACTTGAAGGCTACCAACATGCACGCATTTCTATAAACTTGAAGGCTACCAACATGTACGCATTTCTATAAACTTGAAGGCTACCAACATGTACGCATTTCTATAAACTTGAAGGCTACCAACATGTACGCATTTCTATAAATTTGAAGGCTACCAACATGTACGCATTTCTATAAACTTGAAGGCTACCAACATGTATGCATTTCACATGTACCTATTTTTTAGAATGTATGCTATTTAATAAACACAGTTTTCGGGAGATATACCCGAAGGCCGAGAAAAGAAAAAGAAACGTGAATATTCATGATAGCTACAGCAAATAATGTTATGACAAATGACATCACTTGGCCCCAAATGTGGACACTGTTTTTTTTTTCAAAACAAAACGAAATGGGAGGGAAAACCGGTAGATCCGGTAAAAAACCCTCAAATGAAAGAAAAGAGCGAAAATTTAGAAAAATTTCCTAAAATTTTGTAGTTTTAAGATGTTTCATATTTTTGTTGTTTTCAATGATCCTGAATCCCGATGATCTACTTTAACATGCAGTGTAGTCAGATCGTGCGTTACAGTCGTATAAAAAATTCAAATTTACGGAGCGACAAATGCAGGCTGACTACGCTATCCACAAAGCAAAGATTTTGTGTTGCAACAAAAGAAACGCAAACTTTAGTAGATAGAGAACAAAAAAATAAAGAGCGCAGTGTTAACTGAAATTTTTATAAATAGACGAAATATGAAAACTAAAAGCAGCCATATGTAAATCATACAAAAACATTCAGTACCTACAACCAGACCATTCACCTGCCAATAACAATGAAAAATGAAATAACCTAAGTGAAATCTGCCAAATCTTTATATTGTGGCCTATGTGTACAGTCTTCTTCCATTTCATTTCGACAACATCTCCTTTCTGCAACGCCTCGTGGTTTATTTGTGGTAAACTTGAAGAGAATAGCATTTTTATGCATGGTGCTAAGCATGCCTTTGTGTATATTTGTTCCACATGATTGTTCAACATTCATTATTCCTACTTGAACAAACCACCGGAGATCTATGAAATCTAATTTTTAAAAGCAAAACGCATTGAAGGATTACTTATTGTCTTTATGATAGGTGACATGCTCCTAAGGAGCCAATCACCATAAAAATTTTAGTCATGACGTCAAATAAAGAAATGTTAACAACGGAAAATTACTCAATTTAACGTTGTAGAAAGAAAAGTAAATTATGTTTTTTACTAACGAATTACTGAAGTATGAGTTACTTGCAGAAATGAAGTAGTAGCAGTCTTAGTTTAGACCTTGTAGTATGAAAGATTTCACTGTATAATGCTTTGACCACCATGTTAAGCCTTTGATCTTTTGAAAGTTCTGATTGCATTGTTTGATTTTTAAACTCAACTGACTAAAGCTATTCGTTCATGTGATTTAAATATTTACCTTCTATCATACTTCACAAGCCATGACACGGAAAATCACAAGAATGCAAGCAATCAGGCACGTTTAAAATCAATTTACGTTCCAGTGTCTTTTATTGTTTTATTTCTACATACAAATGAAGAAAGAAGACATAAACAAATATAAACTCAGATATAAATGTTGACATGCACGAAAATTACCTGTGATATCACTATAAATTTTGATGTATTCTTTACTTGCAATTCAGCCATGTTGGTGGTATGATACAAAAGAATATTTTATCAGTGTTATTGTTGGCACCAGCCGACGTGGGGCGTGTAACATTGTTTGGTACATCTCAAGAGAATGGTTGTAAGGCCAATTTGCTTGCTCACATTATTATTTTGCACACTATTGTCTTATCGTTTTTTCATTACAAGTTGGAAGTCGTCGCTAAATTTTTCATCCAAAAGAATATATCTTGATAGAAGAACAGATTCAAGTACGAGATGACCAACGTTTTTATCGTAAGTATACATGCTCTTTTGATTTTATTTGAATGAAAATAGGAATTGCACAAGCAATATTACCACAAGCCATATTCACTGAACATCATTCTAGGCTCGTTTTCCTTGAACAATTACCATTAGCAGCAGTATTATCATCGTTTCCTTTCAATTTCACTGAAAATAGAATGTGTTTGCAATAGATTTTTAAACACCAAACTTACATTAAACATATTTCATTTTGATGAAGTAAAAAAAATGAACATTTTTTATGTTTCAATCGGGTTGATCATTTTGTAACATATACAACACGCGAAAAAAATACCGTTACCATTATTCAAATTGCTCTTCTTCTTTTTTCAAACAATTGCAAAAAAGAATGTTACTACTATGTATAATCTTTGAAGATAAGTCATCTCAAAAGAAATATCTGGGAATTACAACCATTTACAACAACGTTTCAATAATTGACACAACAAAGTCAACTCATTTTTTAAAGAGTTCTGCAGAAGTCGCATTGTCATCAAAAACAAGCATCATAAGGCAAAAAGTGCGACGAATTTTCACATGAAAAACATAACGAAGCAGCAAAAATCACATATTAATAAAACGCCGCTGAATTTAAAAATTATCTGAAACGAGTGTGTCGTTAAACATATGTCATTAACAAACATACCATGCCAGTTTGTTACGAAGAACTCGCAAACCGGCGCTCTTTAAGAAAACTTTTCTCTTCGCACTTAGCTAATGGGAAAAGGAGCAGGCCTTGTACAATAGGATGATCATGTAAAGCAAAAAAAAGAATGAGAAAAAAAAAGTTTTAATAATTACTACCACTGTCGATAATCCTTGAACAGATACTTAAGCATTTTCATCTGCTTGCCACCTAAACAATCATCAAAATAACAGGAATTAACAAGCGAAATAGTTAGTATTAAATGATATGTTTCATTATTAACTAACAATTAATGACCAACAACAATAACAGTTTAAAAGTGTCACATTCCAAAATTACTTAACACGTTTTTTGCCAAAGCTGCGACTTGCTCTTCCTTGCTTGCCTTCATCTCATCAGACAAACAAACATAATTATCACAATTCTTGATTTTCATGGGTGTCTTAAGGGAATAACCAACAAAGAAAGGGCACCAACATCTCGCCTAATAACAAAGAGTATCTAATGATATTATTTTGTACGGAGCCATTAGTATGGCGCACATGAAAATCAAATTCACAGATTACTTTAAAAACGGATCACTTTCTTCTATACCAATTGCATGTTAAAAGTTCATTGACAATGGCTGCTTCATCAAACCAAATATAAAAGGTGTCATGTTCAATGGAAGCAAAACAAGACATGTCAGAAGTCATTATCTCACAGTCCAAATTTTCTTTTTTTTACAAACATACAAAGCGACTTGTAGAGACGACGAAAACAATTTTCGCTTTATTATAAAAAAACATGTCATATAGATAGACACTAACAAAAGAAACAGCAACTATAGCGTTGCTGCAAAATTGCAACGTCCAATTTAAATTTATTGCAAAACCAATCAAAATCGTTCATATTCATTGCACAACTTTAAATTCATTATATAAAATTCAAAATTTTCAATCCGTACCACGACCCAACGGCTTTATCCTCCAAGTCGAATCTTTTTAAAAAGCATTGATATGTGGTTCATCTTTTTTACAGCGAATTTTGTTGTAGATGGACAACTTTTCGCAATAGACAGAATATTTCACAATAAAAAACCGTCTGTGAAAAATTATACTTGTAAAATGTAAATGTTCATCCCTTTTTATGCAAAAGAAACCGCAAGTTAATAGTACCCTTACAAATCTTCTTTCTCAACCACTAAACCATAAATTTTCTTTTACTGCTCAACAATCTTTTAAAAAAAGGTGTACGAACAGCAAGTAGATTTAGATTATGTTCTTAATCCATGAAAGCCACATTCAATGATGAAATCTTTGGGACTATCTATAAACATCTTTACAATTTTTTGAAGATCACATTCAGTTTCTGTTAAAAAATTTATATTTTTCTCGTTATTATAAAGCATCATGTAAGTTGTGGTATTCATAACGATCGTGACTAAAACACCACACGAGTACATACGAGTAACATACGAGTACATACGAGTGACATACGAGTACATACGAGTAACAAACAAGTACATACGAGTAACATACGAGTACATACGAGTGACATACGACTATTTTCTGGTCAACAAATGAGAAACAACACAATTTCTTCAATACATTGATATTTGCGTTGTATTTGTGTGGACTTTGGGGCAACCATTTGATGGATTTAAATGCTGAAAAGGTATTTTACTTTCATACTACATTCATTTGTATGTTTTAGTTGAATTTGTTATAGATATTTTGTCGATGCGATTTACCAGTATTTGAGCGCTTTTTGAAACACTTTCACCTAGGAAATACATATTTATGAAAGCGATTAAATAAACAACATATAAATAATGCTTTCAAAACGTGCTACATGAAATAAATGTACATTATATATATTTGAATTAAATGAGAGTTGCACTGTTACGTATAGTCCTGAGACGGACTGTTTTTGTTGTTGTTGACTGACGTTTCGACAACCTTAGCGGTAGTCATCTTCAGAGTCAAAATGAATGTATAATCGCTTTCATAAATATGTATTTCCTAGGTGAAAAGCGCTCAAATACTGGCAAATCGCATCGACAAAATATCTATAACAAATTCAACCTAAACATACAAATGAATGTAGTATAAAAGTAAAATACCTTTTCAGCATTTAAATCCATCAAATGGTTGCCCCAAAGTCCACACAAATACAAGGAAAAATAAACGCAAATATCAATGTATTGAAGAAATTGTGTTTTTTCTCATTTGTTGACCAGAAAATAGTCGTATGTTACTCGTATGTACTTGTATGTTACTCCAACCCAGGCTCTTCCTTAAATTAACTCTATAGGCTAATTGTGAAAATACCCTCAAATTGACTCTATAAGTCAATTTGAAACGTCCGTTCAAACAATAGGCCTGGTGACATGAGTGGCTCCTTTGCCAGTTGCCGAAATGAAAAAACCAAAAAACTTAGCGCGCGCCATTTTGTTTTGTTATTGGAGCGAAGATATTTTACAGTACCATGTATCAGTATTTTTATGAAATATTAAACACATCGGGGTTTCACCTCTTATTTATGCAATCACACATGTCTCATAAACGCAGTAAGCTGAGTAAACCAACGATTGATGAGCAGCTGCTGTCTGCAATAAGCAATGTCAATGCTATTACAAATCAAGGTGTTCGAAGTAGAAGTAAAACTATTGAGAAGAAAAATGCCAGTAGAGATATAGTTCTTCAAAGAAACGAAGATGGCGAACGAATTATTCATAAGCCGAGGCAAAGCACTTCGAGCAATGGAAATACCCAAAGAGGTGTGTGCTGGGGAAATAATACTTTTATCAAAGAAATAGAAGCATTTTAGATTTTTGTGTAACTTGTATGTTACATTTTTATGTTACTTGTTGTTATTACTATCATAGATGAGGAAATGCCTACAACATCGTCAGATTTACATGATGTTCCACAGGAAATGTTATGTGAGGACAGTGTTACTGAAAGAGGTTATTGATAATACTTCTTACATCTCAACTTTACATAACAGAAGCAAAACTTTAGTGCTGTCCAGGCCACTGCATCTATACATAGTTTTTTATATTTTTATACACATGTGACTGTGCTTTTAACACTTCAATGTACTCTTTTTATAATTGTGTCATATTTTAGAAAAAAAATAGAAAAGGAAACAGCTTTATGTCATAAAATTATTTCATTTTCATTTTAGATCTTGAAGCCATTCTTGAAAGCTGTCAGTTGGTTATTAGAGAAGTGGATACTGGGCCATCTGCTTGGCAAAAAAGAATGGAAAATCGAGAAGAAAATTGGGAAAGTACGAGGGAAAAAATATTCAATGTAACTGTGTCATCATTTGCTCCTCCTTTATCTGCTATGAAGTGTTGTAGATGCAATGAAAATGAAGCTGTACTGAGATGCAGACAATGTGGTGTGTTGAGATATATTTGTCAAGAATGCGATGATGTCCATAAGAATAATCCTCTCCATGATCGAGAAGTGTGGTTGGATGGTTATTTTCAATATATCAAGCCAACACAATCCATTTCATCTGATGGAAAGATTTGCAGCATTGGTAAGTATAATGTACATACTTATGAATTTTATTTATATATTTGGTTTTTTTTTGTTGTGCCCGATGTGAGAGAAATGTTTTTCTGTGATGATGCTATTATCTTTGTAGATCGATCATGTCCCATCCTTTACCCATCATCATGTCAGTTGTGTAATGAATCTATCATCAAAACTACCAACAGCTCTCTTGTGATTATGATCAATGTGAAGGTGAAAATGTCCTTATGCAATTTTTTTACAGAGTCCAAATAACAATTTTTGATATATGGATGTACATATGATGCATCTTATTAAAATCGGATTTGTTAGGGGCTCATTATCTTAGTCACATTTAGAAAAGTACATAGGCAGCAGGTTGGATTATACACTAATTCATAGACTTTAGATTGAAACTAAAAACTTCAAATCATTGATGAAGTTGCTGGCTTCTTATGAAACCCCAAGATTTGATTTCTTTGAAGTGCATATTTTCAGCACTGTACTGGTTATTTTTGATTATATTTTGTCTTCAACAGGATGATTTGATATTAATTGGTTCACTGTACATTGCTCATCTTGTCAATGGAAGTGGTCACCAATTTCTGTTGACAGTATAATTGAGAGTGGCTGGTGGCCTGGTAGCCCTGAAAATTTTCATTACATATTTAGTCAAGATGTCTTTAATTTGTGGGATGCATTTAGAAAGAGGATGCCTGGGTCATCACAATCTGCTTTTGTAAGAAGTTTGGAAGATATTTCCAGCTCTAGAGGAAGGGTGATTATTTTTATGCTATCTACATATCTTTGTTAGTGTGCTTTTACTTTGTGTATATTTTTGTCTTGCAAACCAAAAGCTACAAGACGTAAATCTTGATTTCAAAATAATCCTTTATGATCATTTCTTTCTGTGAATTTTGGTAAATTCTGGGAAGTCAAGGAAAATTTGTTTAAAATTTGTAACAAGCACATGTCAATTTTTGTAGGCTTCATATAATGTGTATGTTTGAAGTATGAGAACTATATTATAGTACAGGGGGGTTTTGCATAATCAACAAATAGTATATAATTGTGCTATGTTTTGATTTGGAACTGGTTTCACTAGGAAATTGTTATCAATCATTTGTTGAATGGAGCTATTGCCAACATGAAATTGACCTTCTTCATGAGCAGACATGGAAAAATTGCCCTCCTTGTAGTATTGATCAACATTCATGTCATGTTGATGGAAATCAAAAAGTGTACAGATTCAGCAAAGTACCAAGGTTTGTGATATTGGATGGCGAATTCTCAAACTTGCAAAAATGGAATTACCCTTTGTAAACAATTCAGATACTTTTATGTTTTAATAAATTGAACCAATTTTAACAAATCCAAGAAAAAGACCTACTGCTCATGTTTGATTCTTTACCTGCATTGTTGGGTTTATGAGTGCTTGTGTTCTAAATTGATATTTATTTTTACCACAGGGTCCAGTCCAGTGTTATTATCGTGATGTATTGATTGCAAACAATAGTTTTGTGGACTCTCATTTAAAAAGTCTTGGTTCAAAGTCAATTCAGGTAATGTGTTATGAAGTAGGATTGAAAGGTAGTAATCTATTATTAGGTTAAAGCATTTTTTATAGAATGAAGATAATTCTTGTGGTGACACCCATTGGAAAGCTCGAAAATGGTCTCCAAATCAAAGAAAAACCAAGACGAGACTGGACTTGAAGTTGCTGGATGCAGGCACTCGATTGCTCAAGCTACTTTGAACATGTTCAGAGGAGAAATTTATGGCTATGCTCACTACTTGCATTTGAATTTTTACAACCACATAAAGTTAAATATATGTGGGAAGATATTATATGCAAATATTGGCCTTGGGCTCTACGTGTTACATCGGAAGAAAATCAAAATGCGCTAAGAAATATTGCACCAGCACTGTCTATAATGCATGGGAAATCACACAGTTGAAGTACGTTAGATACGTAAGTTATGATTGTTTACCCAATAACTCGTAAGCTAAATACCACATACGCCGACGATAATGCTCTATTAAAGATGTTATGAGACAAAGCGTGCTTTTTCAAACTGTAATAATACTGTATTTCACGTAACTAAACCGTGGTTACATAAATCTGAAATGGGTTGTCTTGAATAGATGATTCTTTTCACACTTTTTAGGTTATTTGCAGCGGAAGATGGCAAAGTGGTGCGGCAGCAACTGCTGGCGAAGAAGTTGAGCAAATAAATTCGTATTTGTCAAGACTTGGCTCGACTACTAAAAATATGACGGCCTCCGGTGAGTATTATTTTCTTATCTGTATATCTACTCAGGTATTTTTGTCGATTAAGTCCACGAACTAATGTGCACATTAATGGTTGTACGTATTAAGGACGAGAAGAATGCATTACTGAACACCTTCTGAGTTGGAACAAGCGAAAAATTTTAAACTTGGCAAAATCACTTGTTATTCGAATGAAAAAGGTTACACGTTGTATATATCTTCAGTTAATTGTCAAAATTATATAATATAATATGAAATGAATAATATGAAATGAATAATATGAAATAATATGAAATAATATAATATAAAATATAATAATATAATAATATATATATAATATGAAATGAATTTACAGTTCATAGTTGTGTATAGGTCTTGTTTGAACCCAATACGTTTACTGCGCCAATATGATTATTTTTCACTGTTTTCATTATGTGTACTTGTATTTCGAAGACCGAAAGGAAACTTTCATCTGCCAGGGACGATTTTGTAAAGTTAAGAAGCGAACTTAATGTCCAGGATTCAGACTTGGACGACTCGATAATGCAGTGGAAAGAAGAAGTTCAACAATTTGCGAGAGGTATACCTCTGTTATAACATTGTTTACTTTCAAATATGTTTGGAAACATGGTTTAGTATTGAACAGTTCTGTACTTATGGTTGATTTTTGTTCAAACATCATTTAAAACGAAACTATATGAAATAATTCTTGGCCTGGCTCAAATTTTTATGTTTGGCAATTGTTATTTTTAACAATTCATTTTACCCCCGGAAAATATATAGCTATACAGTATTGTATGGAGTGCTTAGTAATTACGTAGATAAATTAATATTTTTTATTGTTTCTCTAGAACAACAAATTGAAGTTTCTTCGTTGAAAGGTGCCGCCGAAGAGTTCTTCCTTTTGCATCAAACTGTTGAAAATGCTCAACATTTGGAGAATTTTGTAAGAGCCAACGATGATCAAACGCAGACATTGGGTGATAGGCTTTTCGTTCATGACGCTCAAAACAAAGTGAAACAACATGAACGAAATGCAACAAGATTGCTGGAATTGAAAAGACAGCTTTTAGATGGACATGTGACAGAGGAGCAGCTTCTTGAGCAAGGAAAGTCGCAGCTGGCAAAAATCACAGTAGCAAAGCTGCAGAAGAGATTAGAAATGTTGTATTTTCAGTCACTAGACGCACAAAGAAATAACTTCTCTTGCTGGTGAGTTTTGTTGGGGTTTTTTATGAGTAACTGTAAGCATTATTTTAAAGGTCGTAGCAAAATCTAAGTGAGTTAGATTTTAGATGTAGGCGACACAAAATGCTAAATATGGAACAGTTTTATTCGAGATAAATTGTGCTTTATCTAAAAGTAAACGGGTAAATACCATCTACACCATCCTCGTCGAAATATGGGCCACCCTACACTTATTTTGTGCCGAATTATTTCAAAGCATTTTGCCAAATTACTGTAAAATTGCGATTTGTCGTTGTTACGTATATTATACATGTACGTACTGTAGATTCTAGCAAACGAAGATCTTCGATGAGAAGGAAATGCGCTAAAGAGAAGTCCGAAATAACATCTACCGTAGAAAAGTTAAATTGCCTCTCAAGTCTGTGTGGTCTTCCTACGACAAGTGCGGAAGAAGTCATGTCTGGAGATTTTGTTTGGTCGTTTAACCAGTGTAACATAGATAGTACGACTTCACATGGTGTGTAAAAGAAAATCAAATATAGTTCTATGTATATTGTGACGTCCATGCTCGCTTTTAGTTTCAACTATTTTACTTAACAATATTTAGATATACCTGTGCGTTTCAAGGCACAAATTGTCGATAAGTACATGTTAGTTAAAAGATTGGAAGAGGAAAAAGCACTTCTGAACATGGAGATGAAAAATTATATGATTTATTGTTTGGAAAACGTTTTGCCTCTCCTTTGTGAAAGAAAAGAGAAGATTAAAGATAGAATAGGTATAGATAAATGTTCGTATTATGTTAAAACAAGCTTAAAGGTTGCGTATTTATATACTGTGGAATGTAATGTACATGCGTTTAACATATTTTGCAATTATTTTTTTAGTATTTACAAATGTTGATGAATCTGATGACTATTCTTTCCTTGAGGTCAGATAAGTAGTGAATATGACACCAATCTTTTAAAATACGAGCATACTTATTGACATGATTACGTTTGTTTTATAGAGCTTTCTTCTAGATGAATATAAACATCGCTATTGTGTGCGAAAAGACACAATGAAGACTCTGCATGGTCGTCTCGCCATCACAAACTGCGGAATTGCATTTGCCAGAGTGCAGTTGAAAAAAGGTTTTCAATACTTTCACGACTTAGAACAGTCCATAGTCAACGTATACGGTAGTGACAGTGAATCAGACTGTAGCGATGAAGATGACGTTCATGAAGATGACGTTTATGAAGATGTTGAAGAAGAAGATGCATATTGAACCAGTATACCAGCTAGTGGCTGGTAGCCATTCATAGCTTTTTTGGTTATGTGAGTGAGAATGAGCGACTGTTAAATCAATAAATCTATCACAGAGGAATCAGAAATCTAAATATCAAGGAAAAAGACAATTTGTGTTGCGAAAAAGGGCAATTTGTAGATCAAAAATTGTTGCAAAATAAGCCGTTTGCACTAAACAACTACAAATGCGTGTATCTTCTTAGATGTATATACTTGCAAGTGTATTTACAAAAAGAGCAACATGCAAATAATTTTCTATTTATAAAAATTGCACACAAAAATATGATAGCACAGCTTTCAGCAACAAAATACTACGAATTATATGCATCTTCTTCTTGAACATCTTCATAAACGTCATCTTCACGAACGTCATCTTCATCGCTACAGTCTGATTCACTGTCACTACCGTATTCGTTGACTATGGACTGTTCTAAGTCGTGAAAGTATTGAAAACCTTTTTTCAACTGCACTCTGGCAAATGCAATTCCGCAGTTTGTGATGGCGAGACGACCATGCAGAGTCTTCATTGTGTCTTTTCGCACACAATAGCGATGTTTATATTCATCTAGAAGAAAGCTCTATAAAACAAACGTAATCATGTCAATAAGTATGCTCGTATTTTAAAAGATTGGTGTCATATTCACTACTTATCTGACCTCAAGGAAAGAATAGTCATCAGATTCATCAACATTATTTGTAAATACTAAAAAAATAATTGCAAAATATGTTGAACGCATGTACATTACATTCCACAGTATATAAACACGCAACCTTTAAGCTTGTTTTAACATAATACGAACATTTGTCTATACCTATTCTATCTTTAATCTTCTCTTTTCTTTCACAAAGGAGAGGCAAAACGTTTTCCAAACAATAAATCATATAATTTTTCATCTCCATGTTCAGAAGTGCTTTTTCCTCTTCCAATCTTTTAACTAACATGTACTTATCGACAATTTGTGCCTTGAAACGCACAGGTATATCTAAATATTGTTAAGTAAAATAGTTGAAACTAAAAGCGAGCATGGACGTCACAATATACATAGAACTATATTTGATTTTCTTTTACACCATGTGAAGTCGTACTATCTATGTTACACTGGTTAAACGACCAAACAAAATCTCCAGACATGACTTCTTCCGCACTTGTCGTAGGAAGACCACACAGACTTGAGAGGCAATTTAACTTTTCTACGGTAGATGTTATTTCGGACTTCTCTTTAGCGCATTTCCTTCTCATCGAAGATCTTCGTTTGCTAGAATCTACAGTACGTACATGTATAATATACGTAACAACGACAAATCGCAATTTTACAGTAATTTGGCAAAATGCTTTGAAATAATTCGGCACAAAATAAGTGTAGGGTGGCCCATATTTCGACGAGGATGGTGTAGATGGTATTTACCGTTTACTTTTAGATAAAGCACAATTTATCTCGAATAAAACTGTTCCATATTTAGCATTTTGTGTCGCCTACATCTAAAATCTAACTCACTTAGATTTTGCTACGAACTTTAAAATAATGCTTACAGTTACTCATAAAAAACCCCAACAAAACTCACCAGCAAGAGAAGTTATTTCTTTTGTGCGTCTAGTGACTGAAAATACAACATTTCTAATCTCTTCTGCAGCTTTGCTACTGTGATTTTGCCAGCTGCGACTTTCCTTGCTCAAGAAGCTGCTCCTCTGTCACATGTCCATCTAAAGCTGTCTTTTCAATTCCAGCAATCTTGTTGCATTTCGTTCATGTTGTTTCACTTTGTTTTGAGCGTCATGAACGAAAAGCCTATCATAATGTCTGCGTTTGATCATCGTTGGCTCTTACAAAATTCTCCAAATGTTGAGCATTTTCAACAGTTTGATGCAAAAGGAAGAACTCTTCGGCGGCACCTTTCAACGAAGAAACTTCAATTTGTTGTTCTAGAGAAACAATAAAAAATATTAATTTATCTACGTAATTACTAAGCACTCCATACAATACTGTATAGCTATATATTTTCCGGGTAAAATGAATTGTTAAAAATAACAATTGCCAAACATAAAAATTTGAGCCAGGCCAAGAATTATTTCATATAGTTTCGTTTTAAATGATGTTTGAACAAAATCAACCATAAGTACAGAACTGTTCAATACTAAACCATGTTTCCAAAATATTTGAAAGTAAACAATGTTATAACAGAGGTATATCTCTCAAATTGTTGAACTTCTTCTTTCCACTGCATTATCGAGTCGTCCAAGTCAGAATCCTGGACATTAAGTTCGCTTCTTAACTTTACAAAATCGTCCCTGGCAGATGAAAGTTTCCTTTCAGTCTTCGAAATACAAGTACACATAATGAAAACAGTGAAAAATAATCATATTAGCGCAGTAAACGTATTGGGTTCAAACAAGACCTATACACAACTATGAACTGTAAATTCATTTCATATTATATATATATTATATTATATTATTTATATTATATTATATTATATTTTATATTATATTATTTCATATTATTTATATTATTTATTTATATTATTATTTATATTATTATTTCATATTATTCATTTCATATTATTCATTTCATATTATATTATATAATTTTGACAATTAACTGAAGATATAACGTGTAACCTTTTTCATTCGAATAACAAGTGATTTTGCCAAGTTTAAAATTTTCGCTTGTTCCAACTCAGAAGGTGTTCAGTAATGCATTCTTCTCGTCCTTAATACGTACAACCATTAATGTGCACATTAGTTCGTGGACTTAATCGACCAAAATACCTGAGTGGATATACAGATAAGAAAATAATACTCACCGGAGGCCGTCATATTTTTAGTAGTCGAGCCAAGTCTTGACAAATACGAATTTATTTGCTCAACTTCTTCGCCAGCAGTTGCTGCCGCACCACTTTGCCATCTTCCGCTCCAAATAACCTAAAAAGTGTGAAAAGAATCATCTATTCAAGACAACCCATTTCAGATTTATGTAACCACGGTTTAGTTACGTGAAATACAGTATTATTACAGTTTGAAAAGCACGCTTTGTCTCATAACATCTTTAATAGAGCATTATCGTCGGCGTATGTGGTATTTAGCTTACGAGTTATTGGGTAAACAATCATAACCTACGTATGTAACGTACCTGCTTCAACTGTGTGATTTCCCATGCATTATAGACAGTGCTGGTGCAATATTTCTTAGCGCATTTTGATTTTCTTCCGATGTAACACGTAGAGCCCAAGGCCAATATTTGCATATAATATCTTCCCATATATTTAACTATGTGGTTGTAAAAATTCATATGCAAGTAGTGAGCATAGCCATAAATTTCTCCTCTGAACATGTTCAAAGTAGCTTGAAGCAATCGAGTGCCTGCATCCAGCAACTTCAAGTCCAGTCTCGTCTTGGTTTTTCTTTGATTTGGAGACCATTTTCGAGCTTTCCAATGGGTGTCACCACAAGAATTATCTTCATTCTATAAAAAATGCTTTAACCTAATAATAGATTACTACCTTTCAATCCTACTTCATAACACATTACCTGAATTGACTTTGAACCAAGACTTTTTAAATGAGAGTCCACAAAACTATTGTTTGCAATCAATACATCACGATAATAACACTGGACTGGACCCCTGTGGTAAAATAAATTATCAATTTAGAACACAAGCACTCATAAACTCAACAATGGTAAAGAATCAAACATGAGCAGTAGGTCTTTTCTTGGATTTGTTAAAATTGGTTCAATTTATTAAAACATAAAAGTATCTGAATTGTTTACAAAGGGTAATTCCAAAGTTTTTATAGCCTTGGTACTTTTGATCCATTCTTTGATTTCCATACTCTGATGGACCTTAAAACATCAACTTCATGAATGTCAATCTAGTTGGCAATCGCTCCATGTCAGCAAATGAATTAAGAATTAATCTTCATGCAGTCAATACTCAACAAATTTGTGATCATGGCAACGACCAACTGGATACCTATATTAATTATGAGTAAGTAGCTGCTCAGTCACTAATTCTCGGATAAATCATCTGGCATGCTCAGTCATTCATGAGCATGCAGTCGATTGAAGCTGCACAAGTTCATGGTCATGGCAACGCCCAACAAATGTACTAGCACCGATTTTGAAGTAAATAGCATGCTTACTAACAATTTATTAGAGAAATACGTTTATACGTTTTTACAAGCTAAATTTACAATGTAACTTTCTCCTAACTCTCTCAAGATAAAAAGAGCCACCATCATCATGAATGAAAGCATCCATGGGCTTCATGGAAAAAGAGATTATCTACTTTTGTAATAGTTTCTACAAAGATAACATTTAATAAGCCAAGCAATTTGTATCGTCTGAATTGAAACGTATCGTAAGAATCCTTACTAAAAAGATCATTCACGCCACAACATGCCAGTATTGAAGCTTTCCTTCGATTGTTAACGCAAAATGGTTAAAATTTACTGTCATGCCTGCTACCTTTATTAATAATCGTTCTGAATAACTAGATCCAGATTAAAAATGCACCAAAACTCCTAACCATTTTATTGCCACTATTCTACATAAGATTTGATTGTAGTTTGATCTTGTATTTTGACACGTGTGTTTACTGTCCGAAAGTGAATTAAATAGCCAAAATAACATCGGTTGTAAGGAAATTTTCTTCATCTTACCTCCTGTACAAATGTCTGAACTCTTTCTCGAAATGAAGGATTTTGAGCAACAAAATGTCACAAGTAGATTACAAACTTGAGCTTCTTTTGATTCGTAATAACGCAACACCTAGCAAATGACAATTGCAGGAATAAAACAATGGCTAACGTTAACAATGGTTTGTTCACATATGTACAGCCAAACTCACCAAACATAAAACAAGACGATCTATGGTGAAGATATGATATTTCCATACCATATCATGAAGACATCCTGTGCGCTATAAAAACATTGCATGTCACGCTATAAAATCAGGGGGTTTTCACCCGAGGCCCCGCGTTTTAAGGGGCCCTACAAACAGCAAAGTCTTTTTTTCGTTTCTATACCGCCTTATAATGTCGCTAAAGGAAGACAAAAATCCCAGCACGAAACATTATATTTGTAATTATTACATTATAATTATTGCAATTATTAAATTATACTTATTGTAATTATTACGTTATACACATTACGGGGAAAGTTTGAGTGCTTTCATCAGGTGTCAAATTGGCGTTTTGTTTTCAAAGCCTGATGATCGAGGGGCCTCAATATTTGGTTCAGAAGGGACCCATGCAAGTTTGATCCACTGCTAGACCTCCTGTTATGAAAACTTAAAGCAATTGTCGGGGAGGATGGGTAAAATCTATTTTAAACATACGTACATGTGACAAAATCTCCTCACCAAAAAGTTGATTTAAAATTGCTTAGATTAAAATTTACTAGAAAGTTTCGATTCCTAAAGTTTTGCAAGCACTTCTCTCAGGGCCTTGTTGACTTCGAAATAAAGAAAATGCGAGATCGTTGTACTTCGCTGTTAACAAAATGTCCTACCTTTTGTAAATGACGACATCGTTGGTGATGGTGATAACGTGCAGCTCCTTTAGAGGACGCCAAAATTCAATCATAAAATTTCTTACATAAACAAAATAGTTTCTCCAAATAAATTTGACAAAAATATTGAGGTAATTTCTGCCCTGCGTATTACAGGGTAGGCCTTGTTTGCGACTCTTTTGCCTTTGCGACACTTGAGTCACTGTGCATTTGGCTTTTGCTTTTCTTACTCTACATTTTAGGAAAAGGAAAAGTTGGCTGTTTTATTATATTTTTGCCTGAATTCAGTCAGCCTTCAATTTTGAGGGCTCCACATTCAATTTTCACAATATTTTGGTCATAGCAAATATGCTGATAAAATCACTAATCAATTACCTGCTACTTCACCTGACAAAACACTTTGTTCGGCGGGTGTTGCAGATTCCAAAGTCCTGTTGTCTGATGGATCTAATGATAATATCAATGCACAAGTAAAAACAACAGCACAATTTAATTAGAACCCTATGTAAGATATTCCTAATATTTTACCCTGCAACTCTGATGATGCCAAAAGGTTATCGGACTCAACAACTTGTTGGGCAGAAGTCACGGAACCAAATTTCATCATATCTTCTGATTCATCTACGTAATCACAATGCATCATACTACATCACACTACATCACAATGTATCACAATCCATCACAATGTATCACACTACATCACAATGTATCACACTACATCACAATGCATCACAATGCATCACACTACATCACACTACATCACAATGCATCACACTACATCACAATGCATCATACTACATCACACTACATCACACTACATCACAATCCATCACAATGCATCACACTACACACAATGTATCACACTACATCACACTACATCACAATGTATCACAATGCATCACAATGTATTACAATGCATCACACTACATCACAATGCATCACACTACATCACACACTATCACACTACATCACAATGTATCACAATGCATCACAATGTATTAAATGCATCATACTACATCACAATGCATCACACTACATCACACTCATCACAATGCATCACACTACATCACAATGCATCACAATGTATTACAATGCATCACACTCATCACAATGCATCACACCATCACACTACATCACAATGCATCACACTACATCACACTACATCACAATGTATCATAAATGCATCACAATGTATTCAATGCATCACACTACATCACAATGCATCACACTACATCACACTAACATCACACTACATCACAATGTATCACAATGCATCACAATGTATTACAATGCATCACACTACATCACAATGCATCACACTACATCACACTACATCACAATGCATCACACTCATATCACAATGCATCACAATGTATCACAATGTATCACACTACATCACAATGCATCACAATGTATCACAATGCATCACACTACATCACACTACATCACAATGCATCACACTACATCACAATGCATCACAATGTATCACAATGCATCACACTACATCACAATGCATCACACTGCATCACAATGCATCACAATGTATACAATGCATCACACTACATCACAATGCATCACACTACATCACACTACATCACAATGCATCACACTACATCACAATGCATCACAATGTATTACAATGCATCACACTACATCACACTACATTACAATGCATCACATACATCACAATGCATCACAATGTATCACAATGCATCACACTACATCACAATGCATCACACTGCATCACAATGCATCACAGATGCATTAAGCTGTCCTTAACTGCAAATTTTCACTCTGATAATTTTTGCTTAATCTTTGGCAGAAAAAAAATTTGAGTCTTTTCTCAAAAGGTGAATTTGCTGGCACTGATGTGGAGATGGGTAAAGAATTACAATAAACTTGCATGGTTTGAAGTCTGAGCTTTTTTATATCTATGAACTGTCCCTTGTAGTACCAAATTTCTAACTTAACTCATTACATAGAGGTTTGAATGGGGGTCCCTAGGGGGGTCTATGCCTGACAACTTGGTAGAAATTTTTAAAAAGACTATATCTGTTTTTGAATAGCATTATTATAAAATAAATTTTACGTTCCTAGACATGCTAATGAGCCATATATTTGGCATCATAATGAGCCTAAATATTTGGCAAAACATTCAAGTATTGTTCACTTCATTTTTTTTTTTTTGAAAAAAACGTAAGCAAAATGTGTTGTTTTTACGCAAAAACGATGCCCACAAAATACATTTTGTAATGCTCTAGAACGCTGAAAATGGCATTTTTAAGGCTCTGAAATTCAAAATTTCTCAGGGGAGAATCCCTCAGACCCCCCCAGGTGGTGAGCGCCTCCGACGTTTTGACTGATGTTTGAAAAATCCTAGATCCGTCCCTGTCCAGATCTATTTTACCATTAACACCCGGGAATCGATTTTGCTCCACAAAAGACATTTTGGACTAAGGATTAAAATTATATGACGATGCCACCGCACCCCCCTGCCATCGAGCATTCATCCAATTTCTCCAATAATTAAATATTCAGAACCAAGTTGTTTGCATAATTTGCAAAGTGATGTTTGTTTGTTCCTTGACTTCCTTCGGTGTTCAAAAGTGGAAGAAAGTTAAAATATCATGCTTGACAGATGACAGACAGTAATTTATATTTTTCTACTTGCTGTTTAAAATGCTGATTGTCCAGGGAAAATTTGAAATTTGACGGAAAATGAATCAAATCGATCGTATAAAATGGGTTCTTGTGGTCGGTGAAAATTTAATTTGATGTTTTAGGATTCCTTTCTTACAATTATCTCATTATTTATTTATACTTTGATGTGCTAAAACTTTTAATTTTAATACTTTCTTGCTTCTCATTTCGTAGATGATCTGGGTTGGAATAAACTCTCTTATTTTTGGTCTAACTTTTCATCAATACGACACCAGTAAAGATTATTATTATCTTCGTGTATTGACCAAGGTAGGACAAGGAATATGTAAAAGTGTACCATTGTAATTTACTGCGTACAAACGTAGTTTATAAATGTACTTGGTCTCACTTTGTTTGAAGTACAAATCAGTGGCAACTTTCCTTATATCTACGTCATTTCCTTGTAACAACTCTTTGAGATCATGCTTGTTTGTAAATAATCACGTTGCTTATATCCTTTGGGCTGTTTGTTTATATTGTACTGTCTGCCATCAGTTGTCAAACTCTTTGTATCAGGAAGTTTGGTCAAGTTATGCATGCATTGTTTACACTTTGTCTTCGACAGGTGTCCAGTTTACACCTCTTTGACTACCATTATACATGGTGATGCTGAACATTTTGATAATTGTGGTCATTAATTTGTCATGTATTCACTTTGACTTTGGTTTATTAAATATGTAAGCTGATCAAAAGCTTTTGATCTTGTTTCCTGACATCTACGATAAGTATACAATACACAAGCTTAATAGAAGAATTAGAAATGTAATAACATATCCAAAAAGGAGTATGCCATCCAATATTGTACAAGTGGCGTGGAGTATAACAGAAACAACAAAAATTGAAGTACCAAAAGATAAAATTGAACCATGTCGAGACTATTATTACTAAATTATTGTTTTTGTTTAATTTGAATTTTTGTAGAAACAAATAATTCACGAATATACTATTTCATTTCATTTTTATAGTAATCCATGGCACTTGCCAATTTCTGAGATGAAAATAGAGAAAAATCAAATCATAAACATAAGAGAAAAACCTAACCTTGTAATAAATAGTCCCATTATTACATTCGGTCTCCTTCCAAAACCTTCAATACCAATGAATGAACTTTTTACGATTTATTTTAGACGACGTAAGGTTAGTGAAATTTTTACTTATAGAAGCGTTTATTCAACATTCTTATAAAATCTTCCTCTGAAAAACTGTGTTACTGAAAAGATGAAGAGTTGAACTTTGCATATATATATAGTAGCTAGTTAATGATTTGAAAGATTTTTGTTTTTTGGCAATAATTGAGTGAGTTAACACTTTAACCAACAACAAACTTTGAGGATTCTACTCCTAACACAACCGGCAGTACAACACATGATTGTCAGTAAATGCATGATCACAAACCTCATTAGCCGTTTGTTCTTCCTTTCGTTTATTATACAAATACCACATCTAAGAAACAACAGAAAATTACAGAATCCATGAAAACATTTCACTAAAGCAATTAGAAACAACAACAAACCTCTTCATTTTTCCAACCATAAATGATCATAACCAACAAAGCCTACAAACAAACGAATATCAATCACCCATGGTCGTGCTATGTAAATGTGTAATCTTTCAAATAAAGTCTCGTTTCGTGTAACGAGAATTTTCGTTCTCTGTTGTTAATTCATCACTACTAACACGGACACATGTTATTTAGTTTACATCTTAGGTAGTGTAAAGACTGTTCTTGTTCTCTGTTGTTCATTCATCACTACCTATGAAAGAAGGTTGTTCACGGCAGTGTTGGGGTAAACACATTTTTGATAATATTCTGTCGAACTTTCCCACAATGATGCAAAACATCCACATTTTCTGAAGAGAAAAAAAAGCGAGTGAATACTTTCTCCACAAAAAATTAACATTTTTCAAAGCTATTTACTTGTCTTCCATGATATTGTCCATGTTTTTCAGTCGTTTTGAAAGGTAAGAGGTATCAACTAACATAGGATTTTTCAACGAGTTTTGCTGGCAAATGTTTATGCCTTTACGGTACGACAAACCTGGATAAAATTTGAAGTTGTCAAACGTTGAAGACGAAACATAGTTCGTTTTTCATTATTTTCATCAACGAAACGTTCATCACCTATCTTTTTTAATTCCTTGAACAAGTCAGCTAAAGATCTATTTTTCATAACGTGAACGTGTTTGATAAACCGAGTGCGTTCTTCACCAGTCTACAATATGGTGTACAAGTAACTAAATCGAAGCTTGTGCACTGCCAGTTACATGAAATAAGTCATAAACCTTTTTTCCAATTTCCCATTGTTGCAGAGTAAGTGCCTTGCTCACTATATCACCTTAAGATATAAATGTACTCGTCAGATACAAGCAAAATGATGCTGCACTTGTAGAAAAGACAAATACCGGCAAATTTATGCACAGAAAAAGATGATCTCTCGTATCTCGAAGTGTTCAGCTTGCGTTGTGTTAACTTTCGCATTTTGGTAAACAATTTTGAGGATATAGTTGAGATTCACTTTCCTCATTCTCAAGATTCGGCATCTAAAAATATCATCACAATCATATGATTATAACATAAACAAACGAGTCAAACTTATCGTTTGATAGGGCACTACAAAGACTGCTTTTCGCGGAATCATTCGAGTCATTTCAACCGTTTTGTCGATCAACCAAATTGGGAAGTCCAATACGGACGACGAAAACCTAGATAGAAATGATTGAAATGACGCAGACGAATATGTAAAAGCAAAAATTTGCACGTTATATTGATAGGAAACTCATAGAGAGAGAGTGCAATCAGTTTGTTGAACAAAATTTTTATCTTGATAAAAAACCTTGAATTCTTTAGGCGACGTAAAATATGTGAAGCCTGGAATACAGACCAAGCACAAAGTTTCAGATACATCGAAAGAATCCCAAAAAAGTTGAGATAGAAGTATTGTTCTCATATTCATCGCTCGGCACATAACTATATTGCAAAGTTGCCAGACAACTTTCCACTAAACATAACTATATTGCAAAGTTGCTAGACAACTTTCCACTAAACATGACTATATTATCTAAAAAAAGCTGTCATACAATCATACTTGCAGAACACGGAGAAAGCCATGCATGAAATTGAGAGTAATAAAATATTGTACATATTCTACACGAATCATTTCTAAGAACTTGAAAAAACTTACTCTGTATTTTTCATGAATTTCAGCAAAGTATAATGAGACTTTGACGACGTTTCCTTCATTGCCCAATAATTGATGTCTTTCCACTTGATAATCTTGATGAAATCCTATCAAGAATTCATGATTATGAAGTAACTCAAGAACTGTAAGTTCACATTTTGCTTACAATACAAAGGAGGCAAAAATATCAATAAATTATACACAACCTTCAACTCTTTCTCGATCGGAGTCTTTGCTTTCTGAATAAAATCATTCACTTGCGCCTGAAATTGTTTGTAGTAACAATATACGTTCCACAGTATAATCAACACGATATCTAGAAAAAAACATTAAGAAAAAACTCCAGATGTCACCATATTCAAAGCGACAAAACCCGTTAAGTGTGTAAACCTGAATTATCTTCTTTGTCCAACATTTTCTGAGAATGAAAGGCCCGTAGCATGTTTAATCTATGACAAAATTCTCCTATGGACGATTTCTCAATAAACTGCTGTAAGATATTGATGAATTCCGTGCAATCCGCTTGTTCATTAGTGCGGAAAATTCCTGGATCACGTGATGAAGATGAAACCACCAATGATTGGCTCTATCGCTCACGTTCACTTCACAAACTCGCAACAAAGAAGACCAGCACCTTGAAACAAATTACCATCTCCATTTAGCACGCTTCTTCAGAAATTTTTTGAACTTATCTAACTTTACCTTAACTCTAACTTTCTCTATTGGATAATCATTTGGGTGACTTCATTCAGATTGATTCTTATGGAAACATGGCGACTGGCATTACATTCCCACTCCTGAAATCAAAACGATTGTTCAAGCATTTGGATACATCAGGAACATTATATACATGACCTTACATGACAACAAAGTACATACAAGTACACCAGGGACATTTTATCATGTAATATAATGACGTAACTCGACTACAGTACTGAGACATTAGAGTACAATAGATGATAAGTCATACCCACAATTCACAGGGTTTTCTTTACCTGTGAATACTTTAACAAGATTTCTAAACCATTAAGAATTTTCATTACAGGACTTGTTACAGAAAATGAAAGAATACGCTCGATGGTTCGACACAACTGTAAAATAAGAATCGATAAAGTTGAAAAACCAATATAATATTTCACAGGATTTGCTTCGATCTCGAGTCTCTTCTTTACTTGAGCGAGCGTTGGATGCTCCGGCCATTCAACAAGCAGTTGCTCTAATCTCGTCTTAAAGCGTAAAAGTATCGGTACAACTTTTACAGTTTCCTTTAAATTGCTGTCGTGGTAAATATCGTATTCTTCACCTCTGTAAAAATGTAAACTCTCAGTCACAAAAGACGAATATTAAGCATGCTATGTGATACGCGCAACGCTTTACCTTTTCTCGAACAAAGAACTCATGAACTGATGCTATAATTTAAAGTAATAAACGTGACTGACAACTCAAGCTAATAAAACATAGAAAATAGGTCTGGCACTAATCACCTTAATTTTAGCTCCTTCTTCATGGCTAGACAAATATCTCATCAACATCGAGCTCATAATGAGATGGCTGGGAGAACTATCGTCCCGTAAATCAACATCTGTATCATACAAAAACTTTGCTAAATTCAATGTATTCGTCCCTTTGAAGACAGTCTCTTCTCTAGGCTAAAGTATAAACCGTACAAAACAAGGAAATATCCTTCTTGTACAAACCGGATAAATCAGCAAGTGGGACCACTTCAGAAGAAATGTTATAACGGTGAAACACGATTTCAAACGCATCTCTTTCTTCATCCACCTTTAGATAATCTTTGTTATTAAAGGTTGAAAACACATCGCATACATTGGGAGCACAACATAATATGAACTGATGCATATTACAGAACTGTGTTAGGTCTAAAACACCAATATCGTCTTCTTCTCGATTGTATTCATCGCGCTGCCATTTGAAAGTTCTTGTTTGTCCGCTGACTGAAGTTCTTTGAAATCATCATCAAATCTTGTAAATATTTCTTCGATATCTTTCTGATTTAGCTCAACTTCGGACAACTCGTCCTCACAACACGTTTGCATTTTAAACTTGTATAAGCTTTCATTTTCGACTTCTTCAAGTCTTCTTTCTTCCTCGCGTTTCAACCAAAAAGTTTGGTAATATTTTACAATGATGTTCAGAAATTGAATGTCATCCGTTGTCGTGTAACCTTGTAAATAGACTTTTTGTCTTAACATACGCAGGACGAGCAACCAAATTCTACAAAAACAGATAATGTAATCACACGACATAAATATTCGAATAAGTATTACATAAAAGATAAAGGTAAGTTCCTTTTATAAGTAAACAAAGTTCAGATTCAAAAGAAAATTACCTGCACTTAAACATTTCACAATATTCTTCGTTATTGACAAAGGAGACGAATAATTTTGAACAGAGCTAAACAAAGATTAACACATTTGAAAGTAAGCAAGGCAATTAGTACAAACTAATCTATTTAATAACGTGTATAAATACATCGTAATGAATACAGATTAGCACTTTTGGCTATATCTCAATTCTATTTTCCTTTAATCCGTCTGAGAATATTCCGCATACCTTAAGTAAAGCATGCGAGACATCTTTACCACAATGTTCACATTTCACATTGCGATAGTCACATTCATTCTTCAAATGTTCACCAAGGAGAGAGCGAGGTAACTGAATGTTACACTGCTTGTGAACACAGCTGATGAGCGCATGCTCACAAACTTGAGAATGACCCTGAAAAAAGAAACTTAATAAGTAAAAATACCAAACTTTTTTAATAAATTTATCAACTCAACTCAACTCACTTCCAATTCTTCGTAGGAGCCAAACCATTCACATTGTTCAGAAGGACAATGTAAACGAATACTTTTCAACTCACGTTTCGTAAAAGCATCAGGGAAAACCTGTATATAAGTTTCATAGAAGTTCAAAGATCGGTGTAATAATTGCAAATTGGTAGATGAAGATGTTGAGAATGGAAGCTCTTTGTAGAGGAGTTTCTTAATAAACGATTGATAAAGCTGTATGGAAGTTTCCTTTTAAAAATTTTGAATATTTTCACCTACATCATTTCGGCTCAATTTTTCTTGATCTTCAGGACATTTTGGATCAGGATCTCTACAGATTAAAAGAACATGAAAATAAGTAGAAAAAATGTTAAATGTAAAACAGAGATCATGTTGAGAAACCAAACAGACAATCTTCGGTAAACTGCTTCAACTAGGATGAACGTAAATTTAGGTTCTAATTATCATGTTTAAATGAAGTATAACAAGCAAAAATGAACGCTGCTGACATCCTCGATGTCAGAGTTTCGGGACACATCGTGTATAAATGAAATGTAAGATACCATAGAGATAAAAAATCACGACGCCTAGATAAGAGAAACTACATAGGGGCATGTAAATCCATATTGCAATTTAGGATATATGATCACTTATCAGCTTATATCTGTGGTTGGAACACACGATACAACATTGGATGAGATACAACATTGCAAATAATCTATTTAATCGACAACTTTAAACCACACTTTCAGTTGATAGTTTTGATAGAAAATTATCTTAAGTATAATATTAATACAAGATTGACAAAACAAGTGTCCACACATTGTCTGCATTGGATTGACAAGGAGGAGATGACAGCGAGTGCAAATATACTTCGCGTTGATTTTTTCTCGATCTTCATCACGTATTTTGATTCCAGGCATCTTGGATGAGGGCAAATCTCCTCACACTGCAGAAAAGAGAGCACTCCATGTTATTGTTTGTTACTACTTGTACAATAAAATAGAGACTTAGTCGTACTTTGCATTTAGCAGACGTTGACACTTGAGGAGTAGTCTGCCGAAATGCATTGTGTGGTTTAGTTTCATAACAGTTTTTTTAGAACTATTGGGTTAGTTTTCTGTGCTTAAAACAGTTCTTTTAAGGACTATTGACTTATTACTTTTGCCATTCACCATGGTATTTGCGATCTTTAAAACGATTTACTATCAGTGTCCAATTGCTTTTAGCATGCAGTGCCATTTTAGAGCGCAAGCAATTTTTAGCTGTGTCATTCTAGAGATTCAACACAGAAAATTGACATGGTACGACCAAACTTGCAGGCTGGCTGTCCCCACTGCATGCACGACGCACCGAGCAGATGCGAAAGCGTCGACATTCTCTCGATTGATCTGTTCTCGAGTTTTGTTTTAAATTTGAAAAACCTCCAGATGATTCGAAAGCGTCGACATTCGCTCTCGATTGATCTGCCTATCGAGTTTTCTCAAAATGTCTTTCATTTGCACAAGCCGGTGCAAACACAGATATATCTTTATTACTTAAGTTAACTGTCTTCGTAATACTTTATTTTGGAGTCGGATAAAGTAAACCGGATGTTCAGCTCCCAAAAGTCGAGTACTACAATCAGCATCTCAATATTCAGAGTTAAATTTGCGAGCAAGTTAGTGCACCTCACGTTACAGTAAGTATTAGCCAACATTTAACAAAATTTTATAAGGTCAAAAATCACACAACAATTCGATACACAACTGTTTTGTCAGCATATAAGCAATTATATAATTTACAAAGCAGGACAATATTCGGGAAGACTTCTCGGGTGACTTCCTAGGTAATTTATCAACGCAAGGTGTTTGATTTACTAAGCTCTGTAAAACTGTTTATAACCTCATTCAATCTATTTAGCACTAATCATTTGGATGGTTAGGTGTTAAATGGTTTGACACAGGTGTGGTCTGGGTGCCAAATATCTGTATATATGTTTGTTGAGTCGAGATTAGGATTCATGTTCTTCATGTCCTAAGTTGACCACACCATCAGATTTCAAGTAACACCTTTATACCAATAAGGTGGAAGAACGATGGACATAAAGAGAACAAAATAAAAAAAGCACCCTAACATTTATATACAATGTGGTTTCTGTGCCTGTATAATTTCATCAAAACATGCATGAAAAAGAATATAAGAAGCAATATATATTTTCCAGTGGTTTTTTCTGAACTAATTCGCACACTGATATAAGAATGTACATAGTTTTGACATAAATTTTAGCTTTATTAATGCATTGCACCTGTAACTTCAAGAGATCCCATTCCAGCCAATGGTCTTCAAAGGATAAATTTTCAACTTTTATTTCATATCTTTTGCGAGTCTCACATTTCAATAGATACCTTAGAATGTAGTACTTACGCATAAAAGTTAAATACTTAATACTTATAAATGCAGAACATGCAGAACTAAATTCTTCCTTGCTCAGTAATGAACTTTAATATGAATGTACCTCCGTAAATAACACTTACCGAGTGATTGCATTTGCACTAAAAAGGTAACGATCATTTTCCACTTCCAAAAATGGCAGCTAAATAAATGATAAAAAATTTCAGTGCATAGCCACAATGTACAAATGTAGCCTATCCATGGTGAAATTCCTGAGTAGGATCTTGTAAGATCCTGTTACAATCCTCAACAGGATTCTATTTAGGATTTTCATCATGGATCCAGCATTAACTATTAGTTCTATATCATTTTGTGTAACTTTACACATGTAATTTATGGTATAACTGAGGAAAAATGTCACCTACAGTAGTTAACTAATATATATATATATATCATCGCAGGCTCAAGTATTTTTATTATAAAATGTATTATGTCTAAAAATAGTCATAATACATCTTATAATAAAAAAAACCGGGGGGATCGTTTTTGAGGCAGTCAGCGGTAGTAAACATAAAAAGAGAAGGGTGAGCCTGTGATAATATACATATATATATTAGAATAGTGGATAAGAGTAATATAAAATATATAAACAAGAAGATTTTATAAAAAGATATATATTTCAAATACAATATAAAATAATTACATTGATGAAAGTCCAAAGTCCAATTTTTAAAATGATATATGGAAAGTCCAAAGTCCAATTTACTGAAGATACAAATTCTCTTCCTTCAATGCTTCATCCACAGTAAAAATCGATAAAATGAATCAACCTTTTCACCAAATTCTTCATCCCAAAACCAGTTAAGCCAATCTTCTATTTGTAAACAAAGACATGGATAAAACTTGACCCAACTTGTATGTTACACATTCTAAATTTTGCCAAAGTCCAATTTACTGATGGTATAAATTGTTTCGTTTCAATATATCATCGACAAGAAAGAATCGCAAATATGACTCAGTCTTTTCACCAACTTTGTCGTCCCAAAACCAATTAATCCAATCTTCTATTTGTACACAAACGCATGTAAAAGAATTTGTAGAAGATGGTATGTCACACATTGTACACACACATTGTAAATGAGGGTTTCTTTTATTGTTTTGAGTTTATTTCTTAAAAAACGACTTCAAACGATTGCAAACACCAACATATTTATATTCTTTTGCCTTATCCATAAATAAAAGAATAGGGAACATATTCAACTTCACCTCTATTTGATTTATATGGAAATTGAAAAGTTCATAATCTCCTTCATAATAAAGTTGATTCTGTTGAATTCTTTCTTGTCGATTATTCAACCAATGAACAATATTTCCTCTCCAAAGAAATTCATTTGCATTGTGGCTGTAAACACATTCTCCATTGGGATATTTCTCAGAATGTTTTTCAACATAGTTAATACAGTTCAGTGGCTTAGTATTTTCTCTTGTATTTAATCTTGATGCATTTACCAGTTTCTTTGACATCATGTAAATAATATAAAGCAAGCCTCACAATGATTACTAGTAACCAATCATTGTAATGCTTCCTTTTATGGGTTTTTAATTTTTATTTTTTATAAGTACAAACATTTTTACCCAAATAATTTTATTTTGAATTAATAAAATCTTTTGTTTGTCTTTTTTTCTTACTTTATATCTTTTTCTACTTTTTCATACATTTCTTTTATATTAAACTCAAATTCTATTCTTAGATGATTTATAAATTCATCAATTTTCTCTGTAAGTCTTTCTTCAATTTTTTTTATTTCTCCATTTATTACTGGTATTATTTTGTTAAATTCAGAAAAAACTTTTGAATTTACAGAAGATTCAATTTCACAATAGATACATTTTGTACATGTTGATTGCTTACATATTTTTAGAGGAGAAATACGGTGTGAATTAAAATTATTAAATTCACGAAATGTTATGGTTTTCCATATGAAATATTTCCAAATCCACCATAATTTTGGAAGGGTTATCCACATCATTTTTTCCATCTTTCTTTTCCAATACCAATGTGGTTATTTACTCTACATTGATATTAAGGATTTATATATTACACTTTTTAGTAAATAAATAAAAAATATATTTCTTATTTTTATAAAAAATTGAATTCTCAATTTTTCATCATATTTCTTTTTTATTTTTAAAAAATTCGAATTTCTTACCCTTTTTATCACTCTTTTAATGTAAAATCTTCAATAAAAGATTTATTTTCATTTGAATGTTTTGCTGTCTAATTGATAATGGCAAAATCTTCAAATCATAGCATTACTTTTATATTTGAGCGCGATGAAGATTTTGATGAAGAAAAAGATTTAAGTCAAATTATTATGAAATCAGAATATATATCTAAATTCATTGATGGTGGTGGAATGATTATTTTTAATAAAGAAATTGAAGATGGAAGAAAATTTAATTTCAAATTATATGATGAAGGGATGATAATCAGCGAAAAAGATAGTATTGACATATTTATAGAAAAATTGGAAGACTACTTTTATTATCATGATGAAAAAGAATTTTATAAGCACATTACACAATTGGATTTAATTAAAGTGTTTTATAAAAATATTATTGAAAAAATTGTAATAGTAACTATATGATATATATATAAGATGGTAAAAGTAGCGGATATTGCATAATATAATTTCTTACTGGTAAAATGACTGTTTTGTACAGAATTATTGTATTAATTGCTGAAATTTCGGAAAAATGGTTGCGGTCTTCAAATGCAAATTTAATATGGATAAAGTATTATATATATCACCGCAATCATCATGCGACAACCAGATCGCTTCAGTTTACCAGATGATGTAGAAAATATATTTAAGAAGACGAAGTTTGATTGACATTTGAGTGTTAGATGTTTAGTATCATTTCTTGCTGGTGATAATGGCGGATTGGCGAAGCAGAACTATAGTATTTTTCTTAACTCCTGATGATGATGCTGATGTTGATATTTCGAATAAAGTGTTTCTATCTTCAGATGTTATTTTGAGTTGGAAAAGCAGTGCAGGGTTTTGATGTTATTGATGAATGTCAAGAATATAATTTAATAATGAATTTTGATGCAACTGAAAAGAAATATATCTTTGAACAAAAATCACTTATTGAAGCATTTATTAAAGTATTAAAAATATTTGGATGAAAATGATGATAATCATCAACATTTTGAACAAATGAAAGTAGTTATGAACAGTAATGTTGAAAAATATTTTCCTATGTAGCTGAATAGGTGAAGATGTGTGTATATATATAATTTACCCCTCCATGTAAAAACAGATTGATGAAAAAATGTCTCGGATACAGAAGTATCAATGTATGTTTACAAATTGTATACACTCTAAAAAAATTGTTCTTTTTATTTTAAATGTTGTGAAAGATTTTATCCATGTCATCATTGTCATAATAAAGATCATTTTTGCAATAAAAAAGTCAATCCAAAAGATATTTCCTGGATAATGTGTAATTATTGTGGATTTGAGCAAGGAATTCATCAATATTGTTTCAAGTGTAAGAAAAAGTTGGCTGATTATTTTTGTGACAAATGTAAGGTTTACGATGATTATTCGAAAGATCCTTATCATTGTGTAAAATGTGGTGTTTGTAGAGTTAAATTACATAGATCATTTCATTGTGATGCTTGTGGATTGTGTTTCGAAAAGGAAAAAGGAAAAAATCAATATCATATATGCAAAAACGAACATGTTCAATGTATGATATGTTTGGAAGATACATTAACTGGAATCGGAATGTTAAAATGTGGTCACAAGATACATTTTGATTGTTTGACACAATTATTATTACAAGGATTTTCTAACTGTCCGATATGTAGAACTGATTTATTAACACCAACAACCATTCCATCAATTAAGCGAGCATCTTTAAGAACCGTGTCTGGTACAACCTGATACTACCTCAATAAAATACAAAAAACATGAATTTTTTATTATATGAAGTATTATATAAAGTATTAGATGAAGTATTTACAATTTGATGTATATAAAAGAATTTTAAGACATTTTTCTAAAAAAATACTCCATTGTGTTGTTTAAATTAATTTCTTGGTTGAGTTCTTTTAATTGATCAAGTAATTTTTTTCTCTCAAATAGATCAATTAAAAATTGGCTTCTTCCTCATTTTACATATTATATTTCCTTTTATAAGTGAATAAAATTGTCTATTAACATAATTTTGTCCATTGTTGAAAGATAACATATTACAAGAGTATTCAGGATTTTTCCGATTTCTGTTGTTGTATTCTTCAAGTTTTTTTTGGTCGGACGTCCTCTCTTTTTATACTTTCAGTAGCATCCATTAATTGTCTTTTTTCCTACCCATTCATTAAGATTATGAGGAGGACTTGTAAATACTAGATTGGGATGAGCAAATACTTGATCTTGATTCATTTGTTCAGGAGGAGGAGATGTATTTCCTTGATTTTGAATCACAGTATTATTATTGGGAGGAGTTGTAAACTTGATCTTGATTAAATTCAATGTCTCCAAGTTCTCTTAAAAAGTGCGCGGTGTGGGACATTGTAATTTAAGAAAGACTCGTGTTTGGTGACATCATACTTGTAGTTGTGATTGGAGACATGATATTCATAAGAGTTGTATTTTTTAGTAGGAGAATCTTTGTTGAATATACATTATTAATTATGGGTAAAGGAGATGATTTTGAATATTATCGTTATAAGTATTCAAAGGACTTTTACCATCACTCTTTTCTGCTGTATCTTCATCCATGGGTTGTGGAGAATCTGGTGATGATGATATACGATTTTGATTTTCGATGCAACTTGTCTCAGAATTTGTCTCTGTTATTTTTCTCAGTATTTATCCAATCTGGTATGGGTGTTTGTAGAGAGAGATATTCATTATTCTCTTGAAATTGATTTTCTTCTTGAAATTGATTTTCTTTTGCTTTTAAATTTTTTCTTTATTTTATAAACAAATCGAAACGATTTTGTTTCTTTTATCTTTCAAATAAAGTAAAAATCTTCATATGACACGTTTGATCCCATTTTTCTTTATAATAAAGAAATTTTAACGAGCAAGCTCTTATATACTACTGGAATTTGATATAAAATTGTATTTCCTTTCATTTAATCTATTTATGGTATGATTAGCCTTGGATGAACTTGCTACATAGCCTTG